TGACAAGTTTCCTTGATCCACAACAATACCCGTGGGAGGAGATAAGCAGATTTTCTGCAAGCAGGACACAATTGTGTGACGTCATCATCAGTTCATGTGGGCAGAGTCAAGCAAGGCTTATGCAAATTTCAGGCTGTTACTTTTATTGAACCGAAAACATGTATCCCCCTAGCCTGCTACATTAATTTCTACGTAAAGGTACACCACTGCTGAATTAATTATTGAAATTTAGATTAATTTACTTGATTTTTCAAATGTGCATAACTTGGAAAATATTTGTTATATGTGAAAAAAAGTTGAATGAAAATTGTTCGTTGTTGTCTCTAGTTTATATTAACATTTTCAATTCTAAAGTTGCTTCAGTATTTACCTGTACAGGTGGTAATAAAAGTAAGAAAAGGTGAAACTTTTAATTAATCGGATTTAAGCAAGAGGAAGATCATTTTAAAATTATTTTCGTCCGCAAATGTGATTGACAAATGATAACAGAGATAATAAAATTCATTTTTGTCATAAGACGCTGTATATATTTACAATGGACTCACGAATGAATGCAGAACTGTTAAAGGAATACTATTAAAAGCTATTGCACATTTTATCACTCAAATGGTGAGAAATGGGGCATAAAATAAAATAAACCCACATCTTGTGATTAAATCCCAGCTGATCATTTTGACATTGAATTATTGATTAGAAGCCTGAGTACTTAAAGTGCTTACTGCGCGGTGTGTAAGTCACAATGGAACAGTAGCCGGCCTGTCAGTGAACTCCAGCAGACAGCCAGGGTGGGGATCTCTCATGAAAGTACAGCTCATTAAATCTTACTGTGTGTTCTAACCGTGTTGTCATCTTCTGCTGCCTTCATGGTATTTACCAATCAAAAGCTTTCAACTCTCATTATATTTTTTTTACTGCTGTGTAATGTAGGGATCAGCCCTGTTCACTTTGTTGCTCTGTCTTAGACAATGCAGTGTGTCTAAGAGAGATTTTCTCCTGTTGACATTTTCCTGTCTTAACCCTAAGGCTGCTACATTGATTTCTATGTAAAGGGACGCCACTGCTGAATAAATTATTGAAATATAAATCAATTTTCTTAATTTTTCAAATGCGCATAACTTGAAAAATATTTGTTATATGTGAATAAAAGTTATAGGAAAATTGTTCGTTATTGTCTCTAGTTTATATTAACGTTTTCGATTCTAAAGTTGCTTCAGTATTTACCTGTACAGGTGGTAATAAAGGTAAGAAAAGGTGAAACTTTTAATTAATCGGATTTAAGCACCAGAAAGATCTTTGTTTTTTGTTTTTTTGTCAGCAAATGTGATTGGAAAATGATAACAGAGATTATAAACTTCATTTATGACATAAGACGTTGTACATTTACACGGAGATTCTCAGGTAAAAAGATCAGGTATTTCATCAAGAATATCATGCGATTTGCTACAGGTTTCAGGTCGTCATTCAATATATTTATTGTCACAGTCGGCATATAGATATATCTTAGCTAAGGTCTAGTTTATGATTAAATCATAGATAAATAGTTTGAAGAAATCAATCGTCTCAAAACGTATCAATGTCAATGTTCAATTCGGCCTCACCTGCAGACGACATGTGCGCCTTGGTCCACCGATATTTTCAAGTTTGCGTAGGGCACAAAGTTGTCCATTGGAAAGTAACATATTATGTTACACCGAAGTATTTCCACATCAACTATGTCAAACCCTTCAAAACCTTTATTAGCATCGTAGGTAACGCTGGAGAATAAATGTTTACCATCATATTCATCGCTTCAATCTACACATCCGCCATTTTTATGACTTTTTTTTTGATTTGAAATTCTCTCACACACCTTTGGTTATCACTAGGGTATACTGCCGTGACTATCGAAAGTAATGACAAAACAACCAATCAGAAGCCTTCTACTATACACATTCGGGTTTGGTATAGCAACAACCCGACTTCACACTTCCTGGCTACCGATCAAAACTTACAGACCGAGAAACGACATATGTCGTGAGTAGCACTGACGGCCCGACTTTTCAAAACGACCTATGTCGTACGTAGCAGCCTAAGGGTTAACATGATTTGAAAATAAAATTTGTACCCGCATATAATAATTCATAATTTTGAAGCAATTACTGAAAAATACTGTAAATATAATATGCATGTGTATAATTTATTTACTCGTGCTCAGCTGGAGTTTTTACATAATAATCTGACCAAAATATAAAAATGTTCCTTACATGATATTGTCATTAATAAAAAATCAAATGAACAAGAGATCTGTTAATAAGTGTTTTTCTATAAGTCCCCTTCCTGTACTTACTTGAGGGGACTAGAGGTCAATCCCTCTGCCATTCTGTCAGTCACACTGTCAGTGTGTCACTCTGCCCAGAGTATATTTCCTATAAACTGTCACATACAGTAACCTCTTGGAATGACAGAATGTCACATACTTAATTGGGTCTTGTGCCACAACCTTTTGGAACGGCAAAATGTCACATACTAAAATTGGGTCTCGTTCGGCAATATATACAGAGTTATGGCCCTTTATTCACCTTGAATTATTTTGTCCAGGGTGAATTTCATGTATGAGCTTCGTCACCTACATGACCAATTTTTATAAGTCACTACCTCTTGGGATGTAGGAATGTCACATACTGAGATTGGGTCCTGTACTCGACTATTTACGGAGCTATAACCCCTTATTCATCATGCAACACATTACCAAGAGTGCATGTATCTTATATAGTCTTCTCCCTTACAAATGCAAAGTTTTGCATGCAAGTACATCTTGTGATATAGGAATGTGACATACTGAAATTGGCTCTCCCAACGACACTTTATATCAAATGCTTTGTTTATTTTTCAATACCAAAGTTTATCTGGTCATGGATTGCCTGTAATACTTTTCCTTGTTTGACAAAAGTTGTGACATAATGTATTATGACATCAGATGGATGTTTTGAGCTATGTCACAGCAATAGACTATATAGGAGGTATACATGACTTAGAATTTGAAATAAAGTATTATTCAAACAGTAATGTTTCAAAAGGATCATTGTCGAATAAATTCTGTTTCCTTGGAGTCGCGTTGAATTACCTCTGCGTCAATTTCTAGTTTTAGAAGTTTGAAAATAAAAAGTTTAACGTTTTAGTGTCAAAATAAAACATACCACTTTGAAGAACTTTTGACCTTATGATAGAAGAGAGCAATGTTAAATTCAACAAAAGGTTAAATTGATTTTTAGGTTTAAAAAAATGTTATCTACACTTTAATTTTAGCTATTGTGTTCTGAATTTTGTAAACCTTAATAACTCTACATAGACAACAAATAAAAATAGTTAAAATATCTACTGTTGAGCGAATATGTATTTGCTGGTGTTAATGATGATAGTCATAACAGAACTGATCAAACACCGACCAGTTTTAGTTATTATGTATAGGTGACAGTTTTGTTTTTAGAACCTAAGTCTTAAGGTAGCCCATAGCTAAAACAGTTTGCTGTTGTGTACTGACCGGTCAAGGTTTTTATCCCCTGGGTAGACTTAATAAACGACAAGTAAATATAACTCTCTCCTCATTTAAACCTGCCACTGGTGGAGCCAATTGTTAATTTACAAGTAACATTTTATGGATGCTGTCTGCAATAATATTGAGTCGCCAGACAAGCACCACTGAATGCCTGGGCTGGATGGAATATATAAAACTCCCTCCCCAGAAAATACGGACTTAGGTATAATGAGGCGTTAATTATTGGGTTTTTTCCGTCCCTGCAACAAACAGTCTGCCTCAAAAGTATATTTGGAATATTATGTGCCTTCCTAATGATTTTAAATATTGACGTTGATCATATTTTAATCTGATAACTTCATTATGGTGTTTGAAAACAGCTTGTGTTTGGAGAACCCAGACTCATGTCTTGTTACAGGATATGCATGTTCAATTTGCTCGACACCCTGACTTGTAGGGTAGCTATAGGCCTGTTTAGGACCAGTGCACTTCGTTAGTGTAGCTGTATAAACCAACCTAATCTGATCAGTGTTTCTTAGACGAGGTTCCGCTGAAATCTCTAATAAAGGTAAAAGTTCAATTTTTTACAAGGTGTTGAAGAGTTTCAAAGAGAGTTTCTTCATGTCAGGAATTATTGATGCATTGCTAAGAAAAAATGAATGAAGATATCTGAAGTGTTAGAAATAGTCAATTACTGGAACTCATAGCAATGTTGATTGTTAAAGCCAGCCCAGGAAGGTCATTAGGTTTACAGAGTTTGATAGAGTGTGAATACAGACAGACAGGTGTACGACCCGGAAGGATAAAGTTCAGTTTTACTGTAATTCTGTCATTCATTGAACTTGTCTGGTCATACTGATGTTTCATGTAGATTCTGCCCCTCAGTAAACTTACCTGATTGTAGTGGTGTCTGCCTGTTTTGTTTAATGTTTGCCTAACAGTGTGCTCATATTATTGTGCTGACGTTTCACCATTTTGTGGTATTTCTGTCCTCCAGTGAGCTTATATTATTGTACTGTCGTTTCACCATTTTCTGGTATTTCTGTCCTCCAGTGAGCTTATATTATTGTACTGACGTTTCACCATTTTGTGGTATTTCTGTCCTCCAGTGAGCTTATATTATTGTACTGTCGTTTCACCATTTTCTGGTATTTCTGTCCTCCAGTGAGCTTGTATTATTGTACTGACGTTTCACCATTTTGTGGTATTTCTGTCATCCAGTGAGCTTATATTATTGTACTGACATTTCACCATTTTCTGGTGTTTCTGTCCTCCAGTGAACTTATAATATTGTACTGACATTTCACCATTTTGTGGTATTTCTGTCCTCCAGTGAGCTTATTTAATTGTAGTGAATGTTTCACCTTTTGGTGAAATAATTGTTTAAATTATCTAAATTCACTACAGCATTAACTTTCTTGAATTATTACAGAAGTAAATCCTCACAGATATGCTAAATAACAAGTACAAAGGCTCATTTTTTGTGTAAATGAAAGTTGTTTATTCCGCAAAATATTTGTCCATAAATATCTCTGATCTGCTTTGTACAATGAGACTACTAGTATTTTCTGAGTAGGAGATGAACAGCATGACTCTGGAATTCATGTCTGAAATGCAATAATGTATGGACATTTTAAAATGCGATGAGAATTCGTCCTCATACAAAAAATACTAATTTACAGTAAAACCTGGATTACTAGATTATTTGTCAACGAGCCTGCAGTAAAAACCCTGTTAGTCAAAGACAGGTGATATTTAGGGGACGTTGCGGATTACACTAGTTCCTCTCTGTGAAATCCTTGCCTTGGTATACATCAGGACTAACAAGGTTTTTCTGTAAAGAATTATAACAAATTATTATACAAGCTTCACAAGACCTTTTGCACACGGCTTTTGAGAATCTTTCCATAAATATTTCAAAGTTTATGAATTCATTAAAATGAAAACAATATTCTAATTGATTTCTTGGTAAAATGATATTTTTTTGTGCTTAAGCTTGATTTATGTTTATAAAATGTTTTCCATTTAATTTCTAATAACAAATGTTAATAGTTTCAGTGCAAAAAGAAATGCACTGCAAACCACTGAAATTTGAGAATGTTTTTTTTTTTTTTAATGACGATATGCAGGAAATCTGAGCCTTGATGCATCATATATATTCCCAGTAGTAATTTTGAATTTAATATTAATCTTTAAGGATACATGAGAAAATAAATATGAGATAGAAAATCTTTAAATAAAATCTATACCATGTAACTGATTCATCATGCCAATGTAAAAATCTACTGAAAACCACTGGAATTTGAGAATGTTGAAGATTTTTTTAATGACAATATGCAAGAAATCTGAGCCTTGATGCATCATGTATATTCCCAGTAGTAATTTTGTGTTTAATATCATGCCAATAAAAAGTTATAATGAAATATGTATGACATGCTAATAGAATTGTCTCCCTTGTATATGCATGATGGGTTGTACTGGTATACGCATGAAATATCTCCATAGGAAATGCCATGACTGTGAAACATGCAAGTTTCAGTGATATGATACAGGATTATACGAAAATCTTGACAATAACTAAAACAAGACTCGTATCTTCATGCCTGTTTGACAGTAAGATTTACATAAATGACATTTGTTTGCAAATTGTAGCACAGTTGCCAGTGGATTGGCCCAATAAATTTGCTTAATGCCTAGCAGCTACAGGTCTCGTTTAATAATAAAAATGATGTTAAAAGTTCTGAAATAAACTTATAGTTTTAGCAAACTTTTATTATCAGGCTGATGTAATTCTGTTGATGTGATGCTTTGATATACATGTGTGATATGATGTAATGACTGAGAAATTCATGTAAAAATAGATAAAATTCATATGAAATAGCACTTCCTTTAACTGCGTCACACACTCTGTAACTATAGAAACACTTCCTCATACTGTGTCACTCCGTAACCATGGGAACGAATGCTGGAATAGCACTCCTTTTACTGTGTTAATCATGCAATCATAGAAACAATGATGAAATAGCACTTCCTCAAAACCTTGTCGCACACCGTAACCATAGAAACAAAGACTGAAATAGCACTTCTTCATACCTTGTCACACACCGTAACCATAGAAACAAACACTGAAATAGCACTTCCTCATACCTTGTCACACACTGTAACCATAGAAACAAAGACTGAAATAGCACTTCCTCTCACACCTTGTCACACACTGTAACCATAGAAACATATCCTGATGCACACTGTAACTATAGAAACAAAGGCATAATATACAGCGCTACAAACCAGTGTAATTCTTCAGATTTTAAATAATGTTCATATTTATTTGACTTCCACAGAATATCTCATACTGAATGTGACTTTGAATATCTTCACAAAGATTTATTCAGACTTAATGAAAAAAGGAATGTATAACCATTATTGTTTATTTCACAAATCTAAATAACTTCAAATTTGGTTAAAATACAGTCATGAAAAAATATGTTCATAACGGTTTAGGGATATACATATTTGAAGACTAAAATTCTAAATTAGACTCTAAACTCTAAATCCTTTTTAAACTATTGTCATATACCATGGTTGTAAGATTCTATTATCTCCAAGCCTGGGGCAAGGAGATTTTGTGTCAGGCTTGCAAAAATTTTCATTATTTATTATGAAAATATAGATGAGCGAGTAGAATTTGATTTAATCAACCCTTAAAACCTCAGGGTACAAAAATATTGGTATTTCATGCCTGTGCAGGACCATATTAATCTGGGCAAAACAAGATATTACAACAGAATTGTGTGAGAGTATTACAATATGTATACAGTGTGTAAAGTTTATATAATATAATTATCTGACTGGAAAACAGGGAAAATCCTGGAATTTCGGAGCAGTGGGCCATTTTAAGGAATTTTTAGTCAATATCAAGAGGGGCCATTCTATGTAAAATTTAAAGAATATTTGAACATGGAGGGGTCAAGATCAATTTTGAGGGGTTAGTGGCCCCATGGCCCCCTCCAGGATTATCCCTGGGAAAACAAAGTGTTATTTAATAGATTTGGTTTCGATACATCAATATAAATACTGATTTGAATTCTGAATCTAGATGAGTTCAATATTGTTTTTGGTTTGAAGTCTGGACAACCTTGCTGTACAAATCCTAGATTTAAGTATTGGCTTCAAGTCAAGATGAGCTTATCGTAAAAATCTCAATAAAATTTCAATTAAAAGCTGTTTTATTAGCACAAGCATTAGTCTTCCTTTAAATAAAACAGATCACCAGCAGATCGGACATGATAATTGAAATAACAAGGTACAACACATTTATTTAACTCATTCACCCCTATATTTATAAAGTGGACTTGCCCAGCCTTTGATTTGGTAAGGTTCTAATGTGACTTAGGGGTGAATGGGTTAATCCTACACCACATGCTCCCTAACATATATATATACACTTCACCACATGCAGACACTGAAGGTCCTGCTCAGTGTTAGTCTGCCCGCAGACCAAACATTACACAGGCCACCCAAGGTTAAGGTCTCGCAACTTCAAGGTCATTGCATTGTAAAATATATAAAAATGTGGAATTCTAACTATAGCTATCACACATGTTTGTCCTATAAAATAATTAAATGTTGCTATTATGGTCTTGTTAAATTTTTTAAAACTTAGTAAATAGGTCGTTAACAAAACAGGTTCTTATTTTCAATTTATTTACAGGAAATATCATTACCAATATATTTCAAACTTGCAGCAGTCTAAATTTTATTGTAGTTATATCTGAACATGGAAAGTGAATGCTTTCCTTTCACTGGTTTAAATGGTCCAAAATGAAACCATGTAGAATGTAACCCTCAAAGCATTCCCTGCTTGATTGAATTGATTTTCTTGATCGATTTATTTAATCAAAGTAAGAAGATTGTATTTTCATTTCTAGCAATTATTTTAGAGTTAAATTTATATATTAATTTTTCCCAGAGGACATATTGTATCTGTAAACTGGCCCGTGCAATTCATCATTTTGCCATGTCCAAGTTTTCATAGATTTTAAAAGAACCATATTCATTGAATTATTTATTTCACATGCATTTGACCTTGAAATTGAATAAGCAACCTCTGTTTTGCCATTTGATTTCAATCGTGCAGTTATCATGTGCATTGATAGGCTAGCGACTGTCACCACAGTTAAATCATCTTCACCTGGCGTCATCCTTTAGGAGAACTGTCATGGTGTTCCTTCGGTCTGTGTTGAGCTGAGACGCTGCAGCGTAACTGATAGCGAGGCTGTCCATGCGGAACCCGCCACGCTTACACAGGTGGCACTTTAGAATGCGGATGAATGTTCGGCGAAAGGCAGTGTTGAACATGGTATATATGATTGGGTTGGCCAGCGAGGCAATATATCCCATCCACAAGAACGCCGACATCATTTCCGGCGTCAATGCCCACGTACACGAGGAGCAAGATACTGAAAGGATGTTCACAATGAAAAATGGTGTCCATAACACAACAAACACTGCGAAGATAATCCCCAGTACTTTTGATGCTTTCCGCTCGTTAGATGTGGCCTTTTTAGATAGAACTTGTTTCATGCCTTGAGACTTATTGAAACGTTTCAATAGATACTTTATACTCTTTTTGGAAGGGTCATGTCTTTTGAAGTAGACATGCTCTGTTGACTCTGAACTCGGTCGTCTACTATTGTCGCCAACACAGTGACCGTTGCCAACAGCTGTGCCATTACACTTTTGTAGGAGTGGCATGGTGGCATCCTGTGGCACACTTAGTCGGTACATGTGGAATGAGCTTGGGGTGAGGTTTATGGTGAGAAACTCGGATGACGAAGAAGACTCCATATCGTCGACTGATGAGTCGTATACAGTTGGACGCATAGTATTGTAGCCTCCATCTGGTAATTGGCCATGACTATACACACGATAGCTGTTGTCAGCGTCTCCTCCATCAGGAATGTTGCCATGACTAGCTGACAGTTTCCGTGGAGATCGTTCCTTATTTGGAGAGTGTTCCTTACTTGGAGAGCAGTTCGGACACTCCTTGTTCGGGGAGGAATGTTCTCTACTTGGTGAACCGCAACCGTCCTTCAAACATTGGTCCATTTCTCGTTGGATCTGGAAGTAGTGTTGCTTCCACTCCTTGAATTTGAAATCTCGTGTGAGGTTGCCACAGCTGTGAAATTGGACAGTTTCTGACAGCCGTTGGGGTGAGGCTGTCATGCTTTTGTCGAGGTTAGGAACGTTATTAAACGATGCGGCACAGTGGAGTGTGTGTCTGTTACGTTTTAATGCCTTTACTTCCTTATCAAACTCACATTGACATACATCCAGTGTAGTTTTTTCATTTGTTTGAGAGCTACAGTGACACAGGTTTGGTTTAGATCCCAAGTCCGTTTCCATTTCACACTGACACATATTAAGTTTAGGGCTGAGGTTTTCCCGTTCTCCGTGCTGACAGGACTCGCATTTGGACGAAAGTAGGTCCGTCCGTGAGTCACATTGACAACTGTCATCATCAGACGGATTGGAGATGTGAATCTCCAGACATGACATGGAGGCTGACCGATTTTTCCCCCCTTTATATTCAGTATTGAGCAGCTTGTGGTTAGTCTCCTGGTATTCTGTGTCCTGTTGGATGTCCGAGGATGGGAGCAGGTCGTACTGGCCAAGAGGATCTGTCGTGTCCTGATTGGACAGATTTGGGCTCAGGTTGTCTTGTTGTGGCAGAATTCCAGCCAGCATTGTAGCATCTGTATCACTGTTATTACCCAAGCTCACCTTACGTGACCCCTCATCACTAGGGGGAGATAACAATGTCCGTATCACACAGCGATTATCTCCATACCGATTACGTGGTCGGTAATTGTTGGAACGTTCTATATTCTTCATAAGAACTTGGTTTTTCCAAAGTATTCGGATTGTTAGGACATAAGTAATAAGCATGATAGTCAGAGGGATGTAGAAGGCGAAAATTGATCCGTAAATCACAAAATCGGCAACAGTTGGTGCACACAATCCGTCGTTGTACACATTCGCTGTGTCTTTGGCCCCAAATATGAATATTGGACTACTAATGGTAATAGATACTATCCATACAAAGAAAATTTTCAAAACCACCATCATTTTTGTCTTGTTGCGTCCGTACCGCATAGGGTACTTAAGTGTAAAGTAACGATCCATGGACATGGTACACATATGCCAGATGGAGGCTGTACACATAAGGACATCCACTGCCACCCAGAACACACACACGCCGGCATCAAAGGGGAAGTAACCTGGAATTGAAAACAAAGGGAGATAATTCAAGCATAGAATGAAATTACGAAATGTGCTTAAACGATGTGGAATTGTATGTAAGAGTCTTGCTGTTGGTCAGGTAATAATGATGGCAATAATGTTAATTAATCTATACATGTTATCATATTGTGAAGTGAGAGAGATATTTATGCAAATTGATACATTTACATAATAGAATACAAATAATGTAAAGTGATTAATTAAAATAATGTTAATTTATAGCAACATACACATGCTGAGTTTTCTTCTTTCTCTGAGCAATGTTTTATTTCCTATTTGGTTCATATATACTTTGATTTAAGGGTTCCTCAGGTATATATTTTACTGGCATCTGATCAGCAAAATCTAGATTTGACTGAAACTTCATTATTTTTCTGTGTATTGGTATTAGTGTTTAGATATGTAAAAGTTTTTATAGGCACAATTTTTGAACAGAATTTAATTTGATGGACGTATCACACTTAACTGATCACATTCGTTGCAAATAAAATTGTATCCTAGTTATGTATTAAGTTGATTTTAAGCTGGAATTTTGTAGAAAACATGAGAATGTATAAGCTACTGACTCATCCTCTCATCACTCCCCTAAATAGAAAAAACATTCATTGAACAGTTTTGCCATTTTTCAACTTTGTGTTGCTTAAATGACTTAGGTTTCCTGGTGATCTAATAGGGAGTTAGTTTGTTTATAGCTGTTTGCTTTAATTCAGGTGGATCCAGACTCCCCAGGGATATAGGTTATGGTCGGTGTATAAGCCAGTCACACCACGAGGCCTGAACGTGATACTGTATGCAAGCTTATTTTTGCTATAGGTTTATTTTCGTGGTTTTGCAGTGTAATTTGTGACATCAACATGACAGCAAATAAATTTGTCAAGTGTCCGAAAATGTTAAAAATATGACCATATCAACATCAGTAATACATTAAAAATCAATATTATTGCTCACACAATTTAGTCGTCTATTAGTTTGTTTGTAATCTTTATATTAAATACATGAATGAATTAAAAAAATATGTGAATAGATAGTGAGAATAGGTAGAATTATCTGTAGGTGTCTGATTATTGTCTGTTAAGGTAGACTGGATACAAGACTTCAGAGTTGGGCAGATTTGTGTGGAGCAACTTTTGTAGTCATTTATTGTAATTAGCAGTATCAAAGGGTTTCATGCTTTTTAGAAATTAATATTTATGTTTTAAGTCGGCTGTAATGGAGTTTTATGATCGTATGACTTGCAATGCCTCCCAAGGTTTGTTACCATTTAATTTATTGAGGGTTGATCATGAAAGCTTGCTTGTGACTTTGATGGTCTCACCTGGTGTACAGCTGTTTGTTTACAGGTAAACGTTACACAGGTATATGCATAGACATTGATAGGTAATACTGAAAATTAGATGCGTAATAAAATATGTCTTAGATTTTTAATAAAACGGCTATGGTAAAGGAATGTGTATCAGACGCATAATGGAATGTGTATTAATTGTAATTTTATTTCACCCTTGTCTTATATTTTTATTTGTGGATGTTATTCAGATGAACATTTATTACTCTTGGAGATTACAGATAACTTTTGGAGCAAATTTGTATTGTTTTGATGTATTTTACACAAACAACTGCCAAAGGAGGGAAGTTATAACAGCGGAAAATAAAGATACAGCATCTTTGGTCTTAACAATACCGCTGATTTCTCCAGATAACGTATTGATTCTACAACCTTGTCACGCCCACATCAGTTTGATAGGTGATCTAATACAAGTTTAGTGTGTCTACGGCTTTCTATAGACCTCTCCCTCCTACACAACTCTAATAACTACTATTAATTACATCATAGTCTCGGTGAAAATTAAAAATAAATAAAGGTTGGGATGTTTGAAAATAAATATTTCATTATATATATGGTTTTTGTAATTGCAAGCTGTCGACATGGAATCAATGTTGACGGGTAAGATTAATCGTGGTTCTATTAAGGTTTAGTCATATGGTGTGAATTAAATTACTATCAATTAACGGGAAGGAGATGGGATATCATAGATGTGTATCAAACCTGTGATGATTGACATGACACTCCTGTTAAAGAATTACTGGGATCGGCAGCTGTTATGAAATTATTATTTTTTCTGTTGATTATCAAATATTTGTGTCACTACACAGATAAAACAGTGGAGTGTGATGCGGAGGACTATGTCATTAAGTCCCTAATCCATCTTGTTGTGACGTTCATCCATCAGACATATCATTTCAGACCCTTTATTGCCTCACCCTAACAGTTCTGTACGAAAGGTCTTACAGCTTGCTTTTTGTGTTCATTACTACTCTGAAAGAAAAAACCCTTAACATAACCCTTAAGTCACACTTGAACCTTACCAAATCAAAGACTGGGCAAGTCTAGTTTAAAGTTGTAGGGGTGAATGAGTTAAAAGTTCATAAGTTCTAATTGACATCTAGAAGAGTTAAAGCATATCAAAATCAAATTTAGCCCAGTACCTGCCTTCCTTTACCAATCCTACCTGTCCAAAGTTAAACCAGACACAAATGTTTGTTTTAAGCACATCTTATATAAGCTGAAAGGTTGGCGTGACGTCTGTCTAAAAAAAAGCTCAACAAGTGTCCATCACAAAAACTAGACAAGATATTGCAAAAAACTACCATCTGGATAATGGTAACTCTTCAATACCCGATCATTTTCTGTGGCTGATGTGAATAACAGAAAAGATTCCATCTCCTATCTGACACGAGTGACGACTCAGGCAGAGGCGTGAAGCTAACATAGAACGGGGTCAGGGCATTCTGGGAATGGCTGGAATTTATTGAAAAAGTAACAAACAAATAACACATCATAAGAAAATGGTAACAGTTTCGAGACAGAAAGACCAATCGAATCCCTCGTACACTTTTGTATTTTTTACACATTGGTGTTTGATTTATGTATTGGGAGGTAGTAAATTCTGCTGTGAACGTGCAGTACTGTGATATTTGATCGTAAATTCAGGAAGAAAACTGACTTTTGTTTTACTTTTATGATTTTTTTGGACTTAGAAAGACGGAAAATATGTGGAGAAAACTTTGTACATTGTCAATAATCTACCAAAAAACCTGTATCCTGTATGTTTCGTGTTGTAAAATTCAGTGTGTCTTGACTCTCAAACATTTTAATGAATAAGATCTGCATGAAGCATGTGAATGAAAGAGGCATCAGATTTATGGGGATGGGCCTCATTACCTTAAAGCGCACATCTGACTAATGAAAGTGGGAGAAATACATGTTCCAATTTAAAGTCTTCAAGGACATACAGTTCTTCTATCTCAAAGAAGATAAAAACTTGAAGTACTTGAAGAGTTTACACCATGCAGCTATATTTGTAGGCTATAGACTAATCTGGAATGCAGTGATGCATTATGCAGGCAAAGTTACAGGAATTAGGAGTTGCAAAATCTAACAGTTGCTGTATACGTACCCTAAATGTGTCGACTTTGCCTGTAAAACACTCAGCACAGATGAAGTCTACTTTATGAAATGGCGACAGCTATTGAATTCATCAAACAAATTCAATTAAACTTTGTCAAAACCGAATCATAGCAAAATACTTGACATTTATGGAAAATGTACTTTGTTTATTTTTCAAAATATATTTTGAACATTTGGTTATAAAACGAGTGCTTATTTAATTACTTCAGAGTTATTCAAAGTCAAAGCTCTTGTAACAATTTATTTACCATTCATTTTTCAAATTTGTTAAATTTATCATTTTTTTTTAATTCTTTACAGGTAAGTGAACATTTAAATAAAGACTTCCTGTAGAAGTTAGTTTTGGTAAGCTGCATCAAGCCACAACACCTATCAGGTAAGTGTCAGTTGTGTTTGATGATTGGTTGAACAATGTCACATGACCTGATCGAAACAATAAGGTCAGGTGAGAATTAGAAATCCATTGTGTACACGTAAGGACTGTGAACTTTGGTTTTCCTGACCAATTCTGGTTTTGATGAACAAGAGATAAAGCGTGATAGTACATGTTGAACAGTATGAATATCTTCCATGTTGTCCTGAGCGATGTTGTCCTGAGCGATACAGTACTTGCTGCAACTAATTTGCAACTCAAGTCATGTTTCAAATTTCTGTTTTTTTCTGAATCTTACATTCTGTTTGTGTTCAAGCTGGAACAGTGCATGTGCTTTGCAAGTGAAATGAATTCTTGAAAAAAAAAAAAAATCCATATTCGCTTTACAGAAAAATCTATATTCGCGTTACAGAATGTATCGGTTTCACTTGTGAATTTATACATGGATGTATTGAATATGTACTTTTCATTGGGAAATGATCTTATTTACACGCTAATTAAGCAGAACCATAGACCAGTAAGGGAATCCTCACCGCTGTCTGTAAGCTTGGTTCAATATTGAGGTACTCTACCAAGTTAAGTAACTCTCGTGTCATTGTAGTCGGCTACTTATCGACTGCCGTAATTAATCATTTTCATTGGAGTTGTCAGACGCTTTCTTCACTCTCTAACATGTTTTTTAATAATATTTTTTTAATGGCCACAATTTTTGCTTTTAAGCCGTTACATTTTTACTGGTCCTTCGAGAACAAACGTTTGACACTGTATTGTAAATAATGGCCGGCTGGATGCCACGTTAACCCCTTCACCACTGTAAACCAAAATGGACTCATCCAGACCAGTGCATGGTAGAGTCTACTAAAGTTATGTAGGGGTGAAAGGGTTAAGCGAATTACGGACGAGAATTACGGACGCCTGAACGACAACTGACCCGGAGAATTGTATGGAACGATGAAACGATTGATGCAGTGTCGAATTATGGTGATTTGTTCGAGTCTTGCGATATTGTTAGAGGGGCCTTGTTTATGTAAATCTATCAATAACAACATATCACAGCTGTAACCAGGTGTTGCTGTAGATCTATTACTACATGTAATAGTTATTGGTCATTAGACGAATGCAATAATGTAGGCTTCAAA